ACCTTTATTATGTATAGACACCTACTTATATCTTTATGTAAAATATATTAGACTGTTGGTGGTGTGTGTTTGTGGTCTACAATCTGTTCACTGGAAATGGAGATTGTTTCTCTATTGCTGATAATTCCCCAGTGAGGTTCAGGCCAGAATCATTGCTGCCTTCACTTGTGTTATGCTACAATCACATAGAACTTTAGCCACAGTGACAGGAGTCTGCTGGATCCAGCTTCTGTTTTTGGGAGGTGTGAGTGGCTAGCTGTAGCTGTCGAGCCTGTACACTTCAATGACAGGGGCTGCAGCTATTCATGACTGTCTGCATCACCAGCGATTACCTTTACACTTTGACAGGAAGCAACACAAATGCATACTTCCATTATTACTGGTAGTTTTAATAACAACAATGTAACAGCCACACTGTCCCTGAAATATGCGAGGCACCCATAGACTATCATGTAAGAGTATTAATTATGCAATTCCTCCTTTTAACCACAAGATGGGAGTATGTAAATGCTGACCTTTTCCTTCTAGAACTTCCAGAAACACAAAGCATAGTGGGAAGCGTAGTTTGTAAGCAGCATCTGGACACTGCAGAGTTAAACTACATTTCCCAGATGCCCCAGGAGCAGCAGGGGAGGAGGGTGAAGAATCACACAGCCAGGGGCTTCAGGAGAGATAGAGAGGACTGTGTGGAGGGGGACTTTGTATTCACAGCTTTAGGAGCAAGAGGCTATCCCCCTTTACCTGTTTCTGTGTGGGCATCGCTGTGGGCAGAGCGGAGACCTTTCCTGGCAGCAGACTCTATTACTGGGTGCAAGTCTACTGCCACAGGCACCTCATCAGCAGGGTGGCTACTCAGGGCTACTTCCTGGTACACCCATGCAGACATTGCTGAATTCCTGGGTCGTCAGGTTGCCAATCGGGCATCTTTCATCTGACTAGAGAAAACACCAACACACTGCGCTTCACTTGCTAGATCTCAGGCAATCTTATATAATCTTGATTGGGTAGTGTTTGGGGGACTTACAATAATTGGAAATCATCATCATTATATGGATGTACAAAACTGCATATTGGTAATAAAACCATCAACAATTTACGTGTAATGGTACATAGATTTCAAATATACACATGCAAAATATATATCAAAAATATAAGGTAAGGTTGTACTTTATTAGTTTGCTGCTAACAACGCTGGCTGGGGAAGGCTGCCTTCTGAGCAGGCTGGGAACCCAGTTGCTACAAAAGAGAACGGAACGGGAAGAGAGGCTGCCAATAGTGTAGCAAATTTTATTTGATAAAAAAAGGCATTAATTTTGCACTCACAGACATCGCTGGTAATGTGCATTGAATCAGACTCCAAATGGAGACATCAGTACACATCAGTGCCACTGTAAGTAGAACTGTGAAGCCAAAGCAGGAATCCAACCTGCCCAGGGTGCATTAGCTGGAGACCAGATCTGTTGGAGAGCTTTCTAAGGAGCTGTCAAATGTTCAGGGTGCTGTGACCAATCAGAACACATTTCGGAGGCCAAATCACACCCCCTTCATCAGCCTCATCATTCTTCATCTGACTGAAGATCCTTCACCTGTTCTGAGACATTCTATCTCCATGGGCCTTGGTATCTCAAGGATTGGTGAGTGGGCAGAAGCTCACTTTTACCTCACATTCAGAGACCTTGCATGCAGGGACCTTTATACCCCCCCCCCTTTTTTTTTCTACATCAAGGTCCTTTCGCAGGGAAACACCATGTTTATTCTATCCAACCTTTGCTGGTTACAATTTTTTTTCAACCAGGTGTACCAGAGGGGCTGAGGACATTCTTGGGTTGGAGATGCAGAGCAGAGAACCCAAAATTACCAATCGGCTCCTTTGGGGGTAGCGCTACAATAAGAAATGAGCTGGGAGTACTGCATGCAGATATTACTATGACTTATCTCTCCATTGTCCTGATTTCCCCTGGACTGTCCCGTGATATCAACTAAATTCCAGCAAACAGCACACCCACCCTATGGTCTGGCACTGGGTGTTAGAATGCTAGTTCTGATGCCAATATAAGATCTCCCACTTGTCATTCCACAAACCTCTCCCCTATCAGCACTGATCATTCCGTACTAGAACCAGTAGATGGGAAATGGGACTGTGCAACTGCATATGAAATGATTTATATACTGTTCTGTATTCATATCATTGGGTTGAGTGGAGAGCCACATATTGGCTGTTCACTGCAATAGCAGTCTATTCTATTCTGAAAGAGGGAACAGGAAGTTTGACTCACACTTTAGTCCAGAGCCATTTTAGCTTCCAGAAGAACGCACCATTGAAGGCTTCCCTTCTCCCTTTGATACACATATGCCTGTAAGTTCTATCATTATGTTTGTCAAAGTCATATATACACTATATTGCCAAAAGTATTGGGACACCCCTCCAAATCATTGGATTCAGGTGTTCCAATCACCTCCATGGCCACAGGTGTATAAAATCAAGCACCTAGGCATGCAGACTGCTTCTACAAACATTTGTGAATGAATGGGTTGCTCTCAGGAGCTCAGTGAATTCAAGCCAACTGTCTGCAGAGTCAATAGCTTAGGACCTCCATACTTCGTGTGGCCTTCAGATTAGCACAACAACCGTGCATAGAGAGCTTCATGGAATGGGTTTCTATGGCCGAGCTGCTGCATCCAAGCCTTACATGACCAAGTGCAATGCAAAGTGTTGGATGCAGTGGGATAAAGCATGTCACCACTGGACTCTAGAGCAGTGGAGACATGTTCTCTGGAGTGATGAATCGCGCTTCTCTGTCTGGCAATCTGATGGACATGTCTGGGTTTGGTGGTTGCCAGGAGAACAGTGCTTGCCTGACTGCATTGTGCCAAGTGTAAAGTTTGGTGGGGGGAGGGGGGGGGGGGGATTATGGTGTGGGGTTGTTTTTTTTCAGGGGTTGGGCTTGACCCCTTAGTTCCAGTGAAGGGAACTCTTAAGGCATCAGCATACCAAGATATTTTGGACAATTTCATGTTCCCAACTTTGTGGGAACAGTTTGGGGATGGTCCCTTCCTGTTCCATCATGACTGCGCACCAGTGCACAAAGCAATGTCCATCAAGACATGGATGAGCGAGTTTGGGGTAGAGGAACTTGACTGGCCTGCAGAGTACTGACCTCAAGTCGATAGTACACCTTTGGGATGAATTAGAGCAGAGGCTGCGAGCCAGGCCTTCTCATCCGACATCAGTGCCTGACCTGACAAACGCGCTTCTGGAAGAATGGTCAAACATTCCCATAGACACACTCCTAAACCTTGTGGACAGCTTTCCCAGAAGAGTTGAAGCTGTTCTAGCTACAAAGGGTGGGCCAACTCAGTACTGAACCCTACATACTAAGACTGGGATGCCATTAAAGTTACAGTTCGTGTAAAGGCAGGTGTACCAATACTTTTGGCAGTATAGTGTATATGTAGATAGCATTTCAATATACCTAATATGATTTGTAATTAGCTATTTCTAAGAAATGTGTGAGACATTTAAACAAGCATATTGTAACTTCAGTTTATGTGAATGTATTGCAGTTTAACAGAACTATTCACAGAAATAAATTCAGTTTTGGAATGAAACACAATGCTGCTTCTGTCAGTTTTGTTAACCATTAGTAGGACAGCATACATACACTATATTGAAACATTGAAACATTCAATTAAAAATAACTGGGGTTAATTGAAGTTCATCCTTTGAAAACACGTGTACTAAACTACTCATGATAATGCTGCTATAGTTTCTGGTGCGATAGCTTTGGCAAGAGCCCTCTACCTGTTTTGTACAACACATTTTTGAGACTTCAGAAACAAAACCAAAAAAGTTAAACAGGCTCTAAATTCTGTGAAATACTTTAATTTAAAAAAAATTATAATTTTTTTTTATTTTTAAATGAATATTTAGTACTCTAGTATTTAGTCTCATGGTTACTTAATATTAAATAAATAAATAAAACATCTACTGTGTATATATATATTATTATTGTTATTATTATAAAGAATTTATATAGCACCAACAGTTTGCGCAGTGTTTACAAAATGAAGGTACACATTACAGTTACAATACAATTTGGTACAAGAGGAAATGGAGGGCCCTGCTTGTTAGAGCTTACAAATATATATATATATATATATATATATAATATATATATATATATATATACTGTATATGTGTAGTAAGATGGAAGCAGGAAAACCATAAATGACACAGGGACACCCAGAAATATTCTGGCTGGGTTGTTTTGCACCTTCATTTTCAAAGCTGAAGTGCTTTGTACAGCAAGGTCATAGCATAAAACAAGCACAATCTCAGTGTGCCTAAGCTACTAACTAAATCAATATAATTTCTTTACTAACAGGGTGCCAACCTAGTAGGTTCCCCAAAACAGACAGACAGTGCATGTACCTTTTTAGTGTTCTGTAAGCACGCATATTTAAACCACTTGCCTACAGGGCACTTATACCCCCTTCCTGACCAGGCCAATTTTCAGCTTTCGGCGCTATCACACTTTGAATGACAATTGCGCGGTCATGCAACACTGTACTAATATGAAATTTTTTATCATTTTTTTGAGACAGCGCTTTCTTTTGGTAGTATTTAATCACCTCTGGTTTTTTTTTATTTTTTGCTAAACAAACCAAAAACAACTGAAAATTTTGAAAAAAAAAAAGTTTTTTCTTAGTTTTTGTTATAAAATGTTGTAAATAAGTGATTTTTCTCCTTCACTGATGTGCGCTAATGAGGCTGGAGTGATGATCACTGATAGGCTGCACTGATGGGCACTGATTGGTGGCACACATGGGCACTGATGAGGACACACTAGTAGGTGGCATTGATGGGCATTGACAGGCATCACTGATGGGCACTGAAAGGCAGCACTCATATATATGGCACTGATAGGTGGCCCCGATAGACGGCACTGACTGTCACTGATAGGTTGCATTGACTGGCACTGTTAGGTGGCACTGACTGGCTCTGTTAGGCGGCACTGACTGGCATTGATAGGTGGCACTGACAGGTGGCACTGAAAGGCAGCTCAGATGGGCACTGATATGTGGCATTGATGTGGTAGGCACCGATATGTGGCATTGATGTGGCACTGGCAGGTGGCATTGATGAGCACTGGCATTGATGGACACTGACAGGTGGCACTGCTGGGGCTACACTGATCATCAGGGCACACTAATCATCAGTGCTCTGATGATCAGTGTACATGTCCCCTCTGAGGAATGCTGATTACCAGCTCTCCTCTTCTCTCGAGCTGTCAGCGTGACAGCTCGTGAGAAGAGAAATAACCGATAACCGGCATTTCCTTACTTACATGCAATCAGCTGTGATTGGACACAGCTGATCACATGACCAAGCCAACGTCTTCGGCTCTTTCCGTTGATCGGTGATGCGGACACAGCGCATCACCGATTGTCACGCTGCGTGCCCTGGAGCCACGCACGCATGGTTAGAGTGGGAGAACGTCATATGACGTCCTCCCAGAAAGAGAGAACCGCCTTGCGCTCGTCATTTCCCTATATGGCGGGTGGGAGGCGGTTAAAGACCTGTGGACAGTTTAGACTAAAACTGGGTACACACTATAAGAAAATTGGGCATCACGATCTTCCAGTTTTCCTTGATGTTTCACAGCAAGTTAAACCCGAGAATGGTACTAATTGTATGAAAATGCTCAAAAGAACAAAGGTTTCTTTTTAGTTTGACACAGAAACGTTGTAACATAGATTATTGCTGATCATGTGCAGTCTTTCATAGCCGATTTTTCTTGTACAAAAAACAGTACACATTAAAAGAAAATCGTTATCTGTAAATCAATGTGCAGTGCTATAATGTATGCTAATCAATACATCCAAACCAAACATTAATAAATATATAAATAATTGTGTTAACTTAATGCATTAAATAAATACTCATATATAATGTCATAAGTTCTGAACTAAAAAAATAATAGGCTAAATTCATATAATAAAATAAATCCATCAAAGCAAATCATGGGCTAAATTCATATAATAAAATAAAACCACCAAAGCAATTCATGGGCTAAATTCACGCAATAAAATCTAAATAAATCATATAAAGTGCTGTGATTATGAAAGTAAAGTCCAAAAGAAACACCAATCCAATCCTTCCTATAAACTGTGCCACCTTCTGTGCTTGATCCTTCTAAATGCAGTGATCAAACCTCCTCCAGGTGTGTGCTCACCTTATGTATCTGACCTCACATCACTGTTTGTTCAAAAACACTTTTTGTCCTTTCTTGGACATTGACGATGACCAATGGTCACACTCCGCTCCACTCCTCCAGAGTCACTCCATCTCATGAAAATAAGACTATAATAGCACTTTGTCCTTAAAGACTTTTAATCCAATCAAATAACCATTGTCATTGCACTCACTTTTTCCTGGTGCCAGATCGCACCTGATTTATACAGCATATACAATGGACGTGGCGGTCCTGTGCGATATCGCTCTCACCGATACACTTTCCTTCCAAGCGTCTTGGCGTCATCCACTTAGCCCCGCCCCTTTTTATCATGAAAATCATTAGTTCTTTTCACATATGAGAAAAATTTTGCAGTTTTTCCTTTCAGATATTTTCGTTTTGGAAAGTCTGAACCTGATGTCAAAAGTTGTGTACACACTATACAAAAATCGAACAATCATTCTGGAGTGTATACTCATCTTTATATAATCAGGTTTGGCTACCTGATATGGACCTATGAAATGGAGATTTTATCTGACCCAAAGCGCTACAAATCCTGCTGACTCCAGGACCCAGAACGGGACTTATTTAATGAGAAATTTCTGAGAAAACAACAAAACTTTTTTTTTTAGGGGTGTGCACATCAGCATTTTAACTTCCACTGACCACAGACTCCATTTTGTATTCTGTAAGCTATGTTATACATTACATACTTCTGACCAATGTGTTTATTGTCTCAACAGTTGCGGGTTGTTATGTAGTGTCCCTTGGTTTTAATGGTGTAATACTTTAAGGTAGGACTTACTAGAAGTGTTAGCGCTCTGTCTACGTTCTCTTTTATTTTTTTAAAAAGATCCTTTAGGTTTATGAGTGACCTAAGGTAGGCTTACTAGAAGTGTTAGTCTCTGTCTACGTTCTCTTTTATTTTTTTAAAAAGATCCTTTAGGTTTATGAGTGACCTTGAGACTCTTATCCATAGATCAGTAATTATGGAGTATTTTGTGCATTCAAGTACTACTGCAAATGTGTGCATTGTATACTAGGAGTACGTTTTAGTTAGGTTAGAGCTAGGTTTAGATTGTGTTTAACGATGCCTCTTAAAGCCATGTCAAAATTTTTGCACAATGTAGTCAGGCCAACATTTTGCCGCAGCATGCTGTGTGCATTGCATGTTTACCCATCTCTAGGGTCTTGCTTTTTCTCAAGATGTAACATTAGGAGTTATGTAAGTGACACATACTCGCCATTCACAAAATGATTTATAAATATTATGTTACACAAAAGTTTGTCAGTTTTGGTATGAGGGGTCAGTGGATGAAAAAAATTATTTCATGTGTAATGCAGAATATCATTGTAAAGTAAGCATTGCATGACAGTCATTCAAATGAAGAAAATAGGAAGATTACATACAGTGTCCACTTCTTTCCTGTATTCCAAATCAGCACAGGATACAAGATAAAGCTATGACACATTTCCCGCTATACTCAACGCTTTGTCAAAGAGTACATTATGAAAAACAATGAAAGAACCCTAAACAGGGCTAGATTGGGTGACTATCGAATGTCTGTGAGTTACCCATAAACATAATCCTTCTAGCTTCATTAGTGGAAATGGCAATCATCCACCATTGAATATGTGTTCTATCACTATGGTTTTCCTGCTGATCAACCAGCTCCAGAGTGGTCTTCAGGGCACCTTTCCTGTCCTTCTCAATAGGCTTTACATGATTTGTTGCTTTGAGTGACTGTAGGGTAAGGTTACTGTTAGGCTCCTGTAGATGATTTTGGGAATGCCTGTTTCCCAGGGATAGACACCTCACAACAGGGACTGTCCCTAGTAAACAGGCATTCTCAAACCACCTATGGGAGCCTAGCAGCGTTGCCTAAATCTTGAAATGTGCAGGTGCCAATTCCAGTTGCTCTGTGCAAACAACAATTGAAATTTTGCTGCTGGAACAACATGTAACACAGCATAAGGGCTCATGTACGCTGCAGCTGCTAAACTGATGTTCAGGAGCTGTTGAGCATTTTTATCAGCAGAATAAACTCTCCTTTATGTTTTCCTATGTGTCAACGTACACATAGTCGTTTACAGTAGTTTACAGGCACTTGAGTTTACAATTGTTTTCTTGAACGCACCAAAATTGCGTTCAGGAGTAGATTTCAAACACCAAACGCTTGTAAACGCGGTTAACATTGCGTTTAGAGGCGCTTGCGTTTAGAGGTGTTTTTTGACAGATCCATATCTAGATGCTGTCCAGAGCCTTTTTCTTCATCAAAAATGCATGCAAAGCATTTTCCATGTATTCAAATGGACCTAGTACACCAGTGCAGTCAGTTCCAGGTTTTGCGTAAAGGAAAAAATGGTAAAATGTGCCGCATTATGCTCATGATGGGATCCATAGTGAATACAACCAGAAAAGACAGGTAATCTCTATTTCTCTCAAAATGTCTGAAATCGTTAATTATTTACTATTTTTCAGTGCATTCTGGGCATTTGGAAGGGTCTCCTGAGGTTATCTTTTAAAAATGCTTCTAAACGCAAACTCTTCTAAACGCGCATAAACGCGGTATGCAAACGTGGCTAAACTGACGTTTTTTAACCTACGTTTTCTAGCAGTCAGTTTCCAGAGTTCAGAAGAATTTTCCAAACGCCCCGTGTACATGAGCCCTAATAGGTTTCTGAGCACACGCTGGCAGCTCCAGCAGCACTATTTTTAAATGATCCCTGCATAGTGTGGTTGTGTAGATGCCTGCGCACTGCAAAATTTAGGTTATGCTGCCAGGCTGCTGGGGAAGATGCTGGGGGTCTCTGCAATACAGAGGGTACTACTGAGGATACTACTGTGCCGATACACGTGTAGGTGGAGTCAGGCGGGAGGGAGCTTGGGACTGGAAGTGATGCGAGATCGCTAGCTCCATGACTTACAGATATGCAAATTGTTTTTAACAGCTTGTAAGTGCATTTTTTGTTTAATAAATGTGATTCCTTTATATACTACACTATGAAGGTTCCCTCTCTTGTGTGAGTTTTCTCCGTAGACCAGAAAGTGCTAATTTAAAGGGCCAGTTACATACAAAATAGAAGGATCCATTTGAATCACTGAAAGTGAGTTATCGGATAGAAGAGAGTCCATATATGAGAGAGAGAATACCTTCAGGATTCCAAATATAAGGAAATAAGCACTTTGACCTGTAAGAGGGTATGTTGCATAGTGGAGGTGAGCACGGATTTTGAATGGTGGAGGATTATGCACTTATGCATGAGTATTGCATGCATTTATGGACTTTTTAAATAAATTAAATTACTTAAGAATGAGTATTTTATTTTAACTTTAATGTGATTTATGAGATTTATATTTTGGTACATGTGGGGATATGATTTGATGCAAGTCATGCATTTGCAGTTTGTTATTATTAGCACTTTCATACAATTTCTAGGTTATGTGATTATTTGAGAGGAGTTTTGCACTTGGGGAGGCACAACGATATATACAGTATATTGTTATATTGATTTTTTGGTGGGAACACTTTTTGTTGCAAGTTGCCATCCATAATTAGAAAAAATAGATAATACATAGGTTGGTGGCGCAGGATTATTTATACACAATAAAGAAGGAAGGTAATAGAAGGACACTAGGGAATTCACTTTGGGGAGCAAGTAATGCAGAGATCAAAGGTGAGGAGTTAGTAACAAACAGGTTTCAGGGACCAGGGGTAAGTAGGCACAGAATACAGAGGTCAGTAGTAAGTATTGCACAAAGTGCAGACGTCAGGAGTAAGTAACAGACAAAATTCAGAGGTCAGAAGCAAGTAACGTACAGACTGTAGGGGTCAGGAATAAGTAGCATACAGAAATGAGGGAATCCTTGGTTGTCCCCATTGGAAGTTTTTCTTTTCCCTTATTACTGTCCTGGGTATGATCCAAAATGTGAGTTTTTTTTTCACATTCAATGATAACGGTAAACAGAAAAAATAGAGAGGGTAAATCTCTCTAATGTGGGCGCAGACAGCAATAAAAACCTGGCAGGTGTTTAATTCCCTCCCTACTCTATCCAAAACTAAAAAAAAAAAATAGGTTTGCCTTTAGCTATGCTTTAATTTATGACCAACTGTAATATTAAACGTCTTGTTTGATAACGGGTGAACTGGAACCCATTACTTGTGTTAGACATTATTTATCTAAGTATACATGTCCCTTGAGCCTCCCATTGTGCAACATGCCGGATTGGCATGTCTG